AAACAACATTCTTACCTCCTGTTTCTGACCCCAGGCTGAACTTACTGCTTACTAAATACAGAGGAACAAGAACGCACCATTCTTTGAGCATTCCCTAGCACCTTGCAAAACTGAACACCAAGGAACAGATTTTATAATCAACCCCTTGAGACAGCAGAGGGTGTGCATGTTCTCCCCTTTTGCCTTAAGGCAGCAATGCAACTGGATTGCTACAAATATGCCCTCTAGTGGGTTAAGGATAATCTTGCGATAAGGATCAAGTTTGAAAGGCAGTCTCTCAAGCTCCACAGCAACTATGTGGAATGTGGCCAAACAATGCTGAAATCAACAGGTAGTACTCATGATACCATGGCCAATGAAGCCTATGGCAAGAACGATACCAGATGAGAGGCTCTTCGCATCCATCCCCTCTCATTTTGACTGGGCGGGTAAGTATCCGTCTACAGGATATAGCAATGGAAGCCAAAGAGCTGTATCATGAGATGACACAGAGGAATGCTTTGCTTGTAATACTTACACACACACTGAAGCCATGTTTACAGCCAAGATCTGTAGTAGAACACAGTGCTGACTCGGGGCAGCGGGGGGGGGAATGTATATGCACCCTCTGAAGTAGTTTTACTCTGGGAAGTGGCAGCCAACTTAATGTGCAGATGGCAAAACTCTGCCATGCACACCTGTTACTCCAGTGGTCAACAGCCTTCCCACTTACAGTACCTATAGTACCAATGCTATAGCAGAAAGGAAGGGAATACTTCAGCATAGGGGCTGCCAGCTTTTAAATGGGTCCCTCTAGCTATCCTTTTAATATCAGTTTGATGCCCATTTCTGCATATTAGGGGATAGGACATTTCCCCCACTAGCCCATTGGGCAACCTTAGTCCAGCAGCAGCTGTTCAAATCTTAAGGCATGTTCACTTTGAAATGTTACCTTTTAAGTGTGCACCGTGACTCAGGAAATTAAGCTTTTTTGTCTTAATTTAGTCTTGCAACAGGGACAAAAATATCCATGTAAAGCCCTTAAATACATTTCTAGATTCCTGGAACTGTTGCTCAGTGACACCATATCTTCTCTGAGTCTTTTGAGTCTTCAAAACCTTAGAAGTTGCTTGCTTTTTTTTTTCTTTAAAGAAAGCAAACCGAGGTTCTCAGAATAGTGGATTTTCCATCCAATATCAAACTCCATGCTCATATAATGCAATTGTGGAATCCACTCATCCAAGAAGGCCGTCTTATGGAATCAACCATGGCAACCAGTGGGAACAACAGAGGAAGTTGGCAGGAGCAGGGGAAAGGAAAGAGGCAAAGACTTGGTAGGCCCCTGAGAAGATCAGTAAGTAACCCCTACTAAGAAGGTGAAACATGACTACTGAGCTCAGAAACTCCCCATCTTTCCAGCCAGCAGCTCCTAAAAGAAAGAAAATGTGGACTGTGTAGAACTGGATCAGGATATTGGCAGACAAGCCAATATTTAACAGACCCATAAAGCATGAACACAAGTTGCCAGCCACTGTGTTCGCCATTTCCTTCAGTGGCTGCTGCATGGCAGTGAAAGCCTCAAAACTGCCTTTATTATTATTCGGTCTTCCAGACATGGTCCTTCCTGAGTAGAGGTAGAATGCCTACACACTGAAGACAGGCATTTTTTTTAAAAAAGGGGCAGAGAGTAGTCTGATGCATCACTTCCCATAGTGTATGTACATTTCTCTTGTGCGGCCGACACATCAGGCTCAATGAGCTTTTGGAAATACTAGAGATGAAAATGAGGTAAGTGAACCCACATGAGCAGTGATCCCCATTTCAAACTGCCTTCTCTTCTGAGGAAAAAGAAAACAGTTTCCAGCCTTAGGGTTTGAAAGAAAAGCCTAGTATTCTCCAGCCATTCAGGGCAAGGCCCCATGTTTACGGCCCACTTCAATAAAGGTCTCCACACACCGATCAATATCTTCTTCACTGTGAACAGCTGAGATCTGTACACGAATGCGTGCCTTCCCCTTGGGCACTACAGGGTAGCTGAAGCCGATGACATAGATGCCTGTTTGATGAGAAAACAGAGGGAAGGATTCAGGCTAACAGAGGTGGTACAAGGCCCTAAATATCCCAAGGAAACCAGGGAAAGTATGAGGGGGAAAAGGAACCTGGAGGAAATGTGGGTGGCTTGAAGAAAGAGACAGAGGAGACCAAGAATGGGTAGCCACGTTCTGCCTCAAGAGAGGGGGCTCTGAAAAAACTTCACAACACTTAACACAGAGAGGGTCTTCTTTGCTATAGAAAGCAAGAGATGTTGACGGGAGTGATAGAACTCACTTTGACTCTTGATAAGACTACTTAAAAAGGAAGCTGATGATAGCTCTAGAGTCTACCCTGACTGACAGTGGTGGGCTTTAACAATCACTGCAGCAGTGTGACCCAGTAATGCTGGGGTGAGGGAAACACATTTGGAGAACCAGAACACATTTGGAGAGAAAAGGTAAATGGCAAGTTCAAATGAATACATGCAAAATGTGGGGACTAGGGAAAAGGCAAGACCAAATCATTACACAGCAATGTTTGGACTGCAAGCTTTTGACACTGTTCAATACTGCTGACAGAACACTGTTGAGAGGTATACCCCAGGATCCTTGCAAGGTCACAGAGGAAACTTGGCTGACACAGGGCAGCAAAATGTCTTCAGCCAGCTTCATATCAGGTCATGAAGAAAAGGAATACTTGGCCATATAAAACAAATTTAGAGTCCAATGGCACCTTAAGACCAACAAGTTTCTGCATAACTTAAAACATCATCATGTTACATGTAAATTTGCTGTTCAGCCTGTCTATAAGTTTGAACTCTAACTTCCATTCCAGTGTATTTGAAAAAGTGTGCGTGCACACGAAAACTCATATCTTGAATAAAATTTTGTTGGTCTTAAAAGGTGCCACTGGACTCTAAATTTGTTCTACTGCTGCAGACCAACACGGCTGACCACCTGGAACTTGGCCATATAGTGCGTCTCCATGGGCTGCCCATGTGAGGCCGCTTTCTACGGACAATGCTGCCCTCTACAGAGCTGTCAGGGGAAATGCCAGTTAGAAAATGGAACTTTAGCTTTGCTTGGGTTCAAATGGACTTGTGCTGACCTCAGACGAGATTAGAAAGAAAAGTGTCTACGTTGCTCCCATCAGCCAGTGGTAAGGTTGCAGCCTTTTACCTGGCAAGGCTCCCTGTGAATTTACAATTGCATGACAGCAGGTATTCAAAGAGATGAAGTATTACCCATCTCCACGCTTGCTTACCCATCTTATCTCTTGGTTCACAGGACTGCTTTTATGAATGGACAGGAGGGAAGGCATTCTGATGGAGCAACTCCTAAGCTGAAGGAGGAGCCAGGTGAGTTTTCCCCTGTCCCTGACTGAAGTTTTAGAACAGCCTCAGTCTGGCTGAGATGTGGCCTATTCTGTCAGCAAGACATCAAAGGCTACACAGTTACCTTTCTTCAGCATGTCATCAGCCATCAGTGAAGCTAGCCGGGCATCCCCCAACATCACAGGACAAATTGGGTGATTGTTTCCTGAAATGGTAAATCCAGCTGCAGCCATCTTGCTTCGGAACCTGAACGGGAAAGGAAAGTTTTCATCTCTCTCTTCAGAATCTCCTTCACCCAAAGATCACTGGCCAGACACACAGATCAGTACACAACAGTACTAGCTGTCTCTCTCCAATGTTGTGCAATGACAAGACTGTATTTTTCTGTGTTGCTTTGAAACTTCTACAAAATGATTTTATCTGTAGTACAAATTAAGCAAGCTAGCAAAATGTGGCTCACTTTTGTCCTGGATACATCATCATTTTCTCTTAAAACTGGCAAGAACCGAGATGGTGCGAGGTAATACATAGGACACATTTGAAATACCCAGGGTGTGAGAAGGGGAAAATGATGGTGAAGGAGAAGAAGAAGAAGAGTTGGATTTATACCCTGCCCTTCACTTGGGAGTCTCAGAGCAGCTTACAATCACCTTCCCTTCTTCTCCACACAACAGACACCCTGTGAGGTAGGTGGTGCTGAAAAAGCTCTGAGAGAATTGCTCGAGAGAAAAACTCTGAAAGAACTTTGACTGACCCAAGGTCACCCAGCTGGCCTCATGTGGAGGAGTGGGGAATCAAACCAGGTTCTCCAGATTAGAGTCCGTCGCTCTTAACCACCATACCGAGTTGGTTCTTGGGGGAAGGAAGAGTCTGTTATAGTTATCTGTCACTGACATTTGATAAACCAAGCCATGGATATCCAATGAGAGTTGGGTAGTGGGGAGGGTGGGCCTACACTCGTTTGTTGTAGGACCCAACTAGGATGTTAGACATCTGGGATTCTGCATGCTAGAAGCGGACTAACCACAGATAACTTAAAAACGGAGCATAAGAGAGCCATGAGGCCAACATGAGATCCTTGGAGAAAGAACAGGATGGATTAATTCCTCAGTTGTGGTGTAAAAATTAAGGCATTTTCAGAAGTGGCAAACCAGGGGATGAGAAGGAATGAAGGAAGCAACGGGGTGTATAAGGCTTCCCCTTGAAACTCTTCCACAGTAAGAGTTCCCTCCCCTCCCCCCCTCTCTCACCGTGTAGTCTTGGCAGCCATGGACTGTGCAATGGCATTGTTCTCCATAAGCAGATCCAGAGCTTTGGAAGCACAGCCCACAACAGCAGGAGGCAAGCTATTGGAGAAGAGGTAAGGGCGAGAACGCTGGCGCAGGAGGTCAATTAACGCTTTGGGGCCAGTTGTGTAGCCACCTGCAAAGAGAAGAAATTGTTACTAAACAAATCAGGTGCTACCACAAGGGAAACTGGATAGCAGGAGGCTTTGCTGTCCCAATCCCACCCCCCAAATTTCCTTTAGAAAGAGCTCAGAGGGTGGCCTTTTGCTCAATCGTTTGTGATGGAGAAGACAGTGGCTCCTCCTGGGACAGAGGTTATTATCAGCAGCTCATTCAGGGAGACTGTGTTTGTCTTCAAATGTTCCCCTCCACACACGCAATCGCACCCTACTGGGCTGCTGGGTTAATGGCATCATGGATGAGCAATGGGTTATGTTCAAAGACCACTGGTACACTCCAACTCTATAGTCTCAGTAACTGCCCCTGCTGCCATGACGTTTACTGAGTCTAATGTCCTCAGCTTGGACCAAAAATCTTGACAGGAGAGTCATTTTTGTTTTGTTTTTTAATTTGAAAAGGGTGGATAGTGATGCAAGGTAGAGTTGCTGGACATCGCTGGGTACTTTAATAAAACTCAAGGCTTTGTAAACAGAGAGACAGAACATCACTTGTTAGAAACTGCACCTGCTGCTCCCCCGAGTGCCTTCCCCAGGGTTGAGTTGATTATAGCGACTTGGTCCATCACACCCAAGAGCTCATCAGTGCCCCTGCAAGGAGAGAATTACCCTTATTAGCCTAGGCAGCTCAGGGCACTGCCTATTTTGTGCAACCTTGTTCTTTCCCAGGAAAAGCAGGAAGGAAAGTTTCAAGATCCCATTCCATCTAAATTGGTACAGGCAACTGTGATCCACTTACTTACAAGATTACAGCCAAAAGGAAAGAAAAAATGGGGAGGAGATTTACTGTTAAAATTAGACATTTTTGCCAGGACTCCTCTTTCCTTGTTAACATCATTAGAGATTCTACAAAAAGACCCAGTGTTAAAGAATTCTAGATAGGTTGCTGTGCTAGCCTGTAGCAGCAAAATAAAACAGAAGGCTAGTAGCACCTTCTGTTACATCCTCAAGATAACCACTAGACTTCTGCTTTATTCCCATGTTAACCGGAACAAAATCTTTTATTAATGCTTATTTAAATGTATAAGGCCCATTTTATTAAAGCCAGACTTTTGCGCCTTAGTTCAAGGTGACATAGCATCACGCAACATCATTAAATATTCTCATGCTGTTACACCATGGTTTAAATATCAGTGACAGAACACTGGGATAGCAGAACACAATGGAGTAGAACTCTCTTAACATTTTCCACACAGGTAAAGAGTGTAAAACATGGGGAAACTGTCAACCATATATCTAATTCTACACATGGCCCCAGAATGTGGATTAAAAATTCTGCATAGTGGAGTCAGGTACACAGAGGGGATTTGGAAGGTGCTGTTGGAGGGGAAAAAGGCCAGAAAACAAGGGGGAGCTGAAAAGGGGACAGGAGGAAGCAAAGGTGGGGGAGAAACTGGGGGCCAGCAGAAACCAGATGGGATTTCCCCCGTAAGTCTTCCATGTCCCCACTTGTACGAGACATAATTATAAAAAACATATGGAAGGTTCAGCTCCCAGAAAGTGTCCACTAGTTTCAATTATTTTCACGCCTGGGTTTCAGCAAGTGAGAGTTTGAGGGCATTGAGGGCATCTGACTGAAGAATGACAGGTGTAAATGTGTTGCTATTAAAAGATGGACTTGTTATTGTGTGCTATGGTGATATCAGGCAAAAAAAAATTTCCTGTACCGTATTCCCTGATTTTCAATGGCTTTCATTAGGAAACCCAACACAGAAGAATGTAGATATAACTTGAATTTTAACCCAGGTCAAAATACATAATGGTACTTTGTAAACCATCTTTTGGCCAAACTAGGACATTCTGATGGGAACACACTTGGGGTTTCCCTTCCTTAGTGGCTTGCAATATTGCCAGAGCTGCAGTACTGGAGTCTGTGGTCCAGCCAAAGGTAACAGTTTTTAGTATATGAAACAAGTAAATTAAAGTCTGTGCTGAGGTTTCCCTGAGGGATACTCTTTAGGCCATTCCAAAGTGTAGGGTTCTAGAAGTGAAATATGTTCATATGCAGCTATTTTGCTGGAACAGAGATCTATTTAGTCACCTTGGCTTCCTGCCTCTGAAGGAATGTTGTCCTTGCCCTTTCCAAAGATCTCTCTGTGTGTCAGCGGGAGAAGTCCAGGGGCATCAGTGAAACCTTTTCGAATCACCACAGTTTGGACTTCTGGGGTTTTTTTTGCCATTGCCAATGGAAAGGCCTCACCAAAGCAAGATCCAGAACTGCTGTCTAGGGCTTCTCTAAAGTATACCTGCACTCTTCACGCTTGCAACTGAGAAAGACCCCTGCGACTGCCACAGCGCTTCTGTGTGTTGGAGAGTGTTCTGGGACATGCTTGAATATGTATTCCAATCACGAGACTCCCAAAGTATGGTCTGAAGGTGTGTGACATAGCAACCTTGCTGAAGCTCAGCCGGTATGGAGGGGATACCTCCTAGGAGTCTACATATACTGTTATTGAGTTCCACTATGAGGAAAAGGCCTGATTTAAAAGTGATTAAAAAAAAAACTAAAGAAAAGGAAAAAAATAAAAGGCTTCAGTGAAGTTTGTTGGGCCTTGCCGAGCTAGCCTAGAATGCTGGTAACACACAACTATGCATTGCAGGTGAAGATTGCAATGGAAGTGGTTATTCAAGAAAAACTGTAATGGAAGATAAGCTTTGTCAGCAAGGAGCTCCAAAGTTTCCTAGAAACACAGTCTGAACCTCACTGACCTGCTCTACAAGTGGCAATAAACACATCAAAGACTTGGAATTCCTTTCTCACATACCACTCCTCATAAACAAAGAAGTAGAAAGGATATCACCATTCCACAAAGGACCCAGCCTCACAAACCACTATTGATTTTTTTAAACATCAAAGCAGGAGACAAAGTAGGACAATCAGATCTCATACCTTCCATTGGGCCCAAGGAATCCGGTGGCATGACATTCATCAACGAAAACAATGGCATTGTATTTCTGGGACAGGTTACAGATTTCCTTCAAGGGGGCAATGTCACCATCCATGGAGAAAGCACCATCAGTGGCCACCAACCTCAGGCGATATTTCTGGGAAGATGACCATGTGGCATATGAGCAAAAGCCTGTAATGCTAGAAAGCACTGCTTGTGATGGGGAATGGGAGGCAGACACTGACATGAAGAACCAGAACATCATATACAATCACAAAACTGTTGCATCTGCCAGAATCTGATGGATAACCTAGATTGGTGGTTTTCAAAGTTTTCTGTCATCTGGGAACCCTTTCTGCAGCAACACTGTTGCTGAGGAACCCCTGGGCATCTCCCATGGGATACTGGTGCACTGCAGAAGAGATTCCTGGAGCATACTCTATGCTGCACACACTGCTCATAAAGAACACTGCCCAGCCCTGTCTTACTGCCTGATGTGAACTGAAAATACAAGTCCCGTTCAGCAGTCCCCTGTGGACTGCACAACAAGGCAAGATGGAAATGATGGTCAATGTTGCCCAAGCTTCCCCAGCAGTCCCTTGTAATCTGTAAGCCCAAGTCCCTTCACATGAAGTGATGTTGTAATAGGTGAAGCAGCTCCAACTTACTTGTGCATCCTGCAGCTTGCTTTCTAGATCTTGCATGTCCATGTGCTTGTAGCGATATTTATTGGCCTTACAGAGCCGGATCCCATCAATGATGGAGGCATGATTCAGCTCATCAGAAAGAACGGCATCCTCTGGGGTCAGCAGGGCCTTGAGGTACCAAAATAAAAATTACAGCAAGCTCAGTAGCTTCCCATACAGCAGGTCACCAATTCAATCTCCTGCGCCCACAGTTAAAAGACGTCAAGCAGTAAAAGCAGGAAAGTCCTCTGCACCAGACACTGGAGAGCACGGCCACTCAGGAAAGACAGTGGGCACATGAAGCTGCCTCCTACTGAACCAGACCTTGGTCAATCAAGGTCCGTATTTTACCTTTTCAGTTGGAGATGCTGGGGATTCAACCTGGGACTTTCTGCATGGACAGCAGATGTCCTACTGTTGAGCCAAATTCCCCTTACCCAATGGTCAGCTCCTGGTGTGGGAGTGTCCTAGGCAATATGCATTTCAGTGCACCCCCCCCAACACATTGCAGGGGGTGGCTTGCTTGGTCCCTCCTCATTCAGGCATAAACAAGCAGAGGGCAAGTGGTGAACCGTGTAGTTTGCTATTCCCCAATGGCTTGCCCGAACACTAACCAAGGAACAAATGCAAGGATTAACATCAGCCACAGTGCTGGGAAGGAACAGAGGAGATCCTCCCGTTGAGTAGCAGCAATCAAACAGCAGCCAGTGAGAAAGAAAGAGCACCCTTTCCCTCTTTTTCCTCAATGCAAAGTTGCCATCCCTGCAGACCACAGTGGTGCACAGCACAGCATCATGGATGGGGAAGAAGGCCATGATCCTCCTGAGGGGATCCAATTCTGTTGCTGCCATCAAAGAAACAAGGCAGTTGGACAGTGTTTGTTGCTATGCTGCAACCATTTTTGGGCTGGCAGTACAGGCCCCCTAGGGATGTCAACCATGATAGCATCCCTGACTGAGTATAAGGCAGCTTCATATACAACACACTGTGCAAGCTGATGCAGCAGAAAGCCCTAGCTTGCAACCATTGGCCTGCAACCACAGGAGCTTCCAGGACGAATGCATTTACTTCCTGTTGACAGTGTATGAGATCACGATAATGAACATAAGAACTGTATGAGGACTTGAGTCACTTGAAAAGTACTTTAGATATATATCCAGATCTCATGTTCTATTTGGGGGCCCGGCACCAAGGTCTGCATGGCTAGGCTTCCTCTTCTTGTATTGCACACTGTGCATTTATGTACAATGAGACTTTTCCCTAAGGCATGCTCACACTTTTGATCTGAGGAGTGCTGTACTTTCCCTGTTGTCTTAACAATAAGGCTGGGAGTACAGGGAATGAGGGACTTAGTCAAGCTTCCCTGTGCCAGCCCCTTGTTTACACAAGCCATCTTCCACTAAAAGCCCAAGGGCTATTTGCATGGAACGCAGCAGCACTGAATCCCTGTGGTATACAAACAGCCTAGTCCTAGGAACGGTATTATATCTCGTGACTGACTTGCCAAAAGACGGAAGCTGCTATACATTCCTGCTTCCATTGCATTTGTGATGGTCACGTCAGTCAGCCCCAAGACAGATTGAATGGAGTTTGTTATTTCCTCCTTGGCCATGCACAATGCAAGATTTTGCCTCCACCTTTAGCTGACACTCATGTGAAACAGATTCTCCCTCAAAATAAGAGACAAGCACATGGCCACATTAAGTTGTACCTGCAGGTTCAGACTCAGCTAAATTCAGTGACTTCAGGGCTAGATCTGGCTATGTGAATACACTAGATAAGCAGCCAGACTTCTATTCCTGCTCCATCTGCTCCTGTCCTTCCGCTACTATGGATCAATTTCATCCTCCAAGGCAGCTGTTTTGCTAACAGGAAGAGTGCCTTTTTGACAGCAATTGGGCTTCCTTCCTCTCTCAAACTAGCTACCCCACAGACAAAAGATACTTTAGAATTTTGGAATTCCGAGTGGCCCCCATCAGTCCCCTATACACCAAGTGTCACAAACCTCAAAGATTCCAGCATTGGCATCAAAGCAGCTGGCATAGAGGATGGCATCTTCTCTCCGATGGAAATGAGCAATCTTCTCCTCCAGGTCCTTATGTATATTCTGCAGAGATGGAGAGCAGACAGAAAAAAATGAACACAAAATGCAGGCAGAAGACAAAATTGACAGTTGGCAGAATTATAAAAGAAAACCGTGTTTCTACTGATGTAATAGCATGTTCTGCATGTCATATTTAATACTTCTGCTTCGTTCAGACAGCAGCTCCATTTGCTTTTTAGATGTATGATCTTATGAATTGCATTGATTTACATTGTGTAATCCGCCTTGAGTCTCAGTGAGAAAGGTGGACTATAAATAAATTAATAATAATAATAATAATAATAATAATAATAATAATACCTCTCAAGCAACCTTGAGAGGGAAAACAGCTTTGAGATCCTAAGCCTCCTACTTCTTGAATTGGATCCTGGGCAAAATCTCTCTGTCACTGGCATGGAACCTCTTGCCTGACTTCCACTGCAACCCAAAATGTTGTTGCTGTGGGTACAGAGGACCCTCAGGAACAAAATGAGAGGCAAACCAAAGTCCTGCCATGCAGTGGGGGGAGATCAGCAAAAAAACAACAACAACAACCCTCTTCCATAAGAAGAATTTCCAGCAGATTCAACTCTGTGTCTACTGATGCTTCCAGGTCATTTGGGATGGTTCAGATACACTGATCCATATAAGCCACACTGTACCCATGTTCCGATCAAGCTGGTCACCAACACAAGTTTTCCATGAAGGGGAAATGGCAGACTCGGCATGCTTTGTGCACCCAGAGGAGGAGAAGTGCCATAATAATGCCACTGAAAACTGGCTATGGTTTCGTTATTTACTAAAATAATAGCAGATCTAGTCAAAAGACTTCCACTGTGGCAGTTACGGGGAAAGGTGAGCAGCATTCTAACATGTTTACACTGTAAATACAGTTACGTTAGAGGAAATGGAAGAGGTGGGGAAAGAGAACAGAAGCCCCGCCTGGCTCCATGTTCCTGCTCCACCTTACTTGTGTTCCACAGATGAAGCGGACGGAACTAAGGCCAGCTCCATATTTCTCCAGGGTATCCAGTCCAGCGTTGATCACTTCAGGGTGACTGGAGAGTCCAAGGTAATTATTAGCACAGAAATTGAGGATATCTGCAACAAATACAGAAAAAGGGGGGGGGGGGGGGAGAGAATCAGCAGGGAGAAGGGAGCAGTGGCTATAAGCCATTCGCTCCAGTAGGCTACTTGGTTCCTTTTAAACCCAGTTTGTCCCAGCATGATTGACACCAAAAAGGCATAAGATTTGTCCATAAGCCAAAGCCTTGAGGACAAAAAAAAAGGCAAGTTTGGCAACCCTCCTGGTATTTCTCCTATATACCAAAGAGACCACTGTATATTGTAATAAAACTGTTCATCAACTATAGCTGCATTTGGGCCCCTGAAATGGAGAAAGCAAGGAAGTAGTGGTCCGAACTTTTGACCCTCTGAAGGGTTCCAGTTTTTGTTGACTACTGTCTTTCCTGAAAAACATATTTCAAGATTACAGGAATAGAAAAGGACAGTAGAAGCTTTAGCATTAAACAACTGGAAGAGTGTTGAAAGAGAGGCTGATCTTAGCACCCGATGGAGAGGATGACAATTAACAGAGAAAGAATTTCCAATTCAGGTAATGCAAATAGGACAATTTTGAGATTATAAGCATTGGTTACCAAAGATCCATGCCTGAACCTGATAAACCAAGAAGCAAAAGCAATGCTACTACATGAACAGAACTAACTGGCAACTGTAGAACCTTCTACACACAAAGACTGTGAGGGCTTCTCCACCCATACGAGCATCCTGCCTTCAGCAAATCCTCTTCCAAACCCTGCTCTCCGTGCCACCGCCACCTGTTGAGGTGAGGTGTATGGCAACAAAGACAGGGCTTTTTCACTGGTTGCACTTTGTCTTTGGAATCCCTCACCACCCCACTCACGTGGCGCCTGCCTCACTGTCCTTTAGGCAACAGGCCAAAACATTAATTTTACCCTGACTGAAAAGCTGAATGGTTTCATCCTTTTAATTGTCTTATGGTCTGATTCTATCTTGATAACTGTTTTACAGATGTTAATATAGGCTGATTAAGTATTGTTTTATGCCAGTTTAATATTATTAATTTTCAATGTTGGGTCTTCTTTTGTTTGTTTTTTGTTTTTTACAGTTTTACTGTTAGGTTTTCACTTTTTGAGCTGCTTCAAACAGATCTTCAGAGAGACAGCAAAATAAAAACAGGTAAGATGGAACTTTTCTTGGATAAGCCAAGCGGACTCTTGTAGGAGTGGATTACAAAGGTAAAGGTTTTCCGAAAGCCAGTCAAATCCGACTCTAGGAGGTGGTGCTCATCTTGGTTTCCAAGCTGAAGAGCCAGCACTGTCCGAAGACTCCTCTGTGGTCATGTGGCCGGCATGACTAAATGTCAGGCGCACAGAACGCTGTTACTGTCCCACCGAAGCGGTACCTACTTGCAATTTCTTGCTTTCGTACTGAAAGCTCTCCCATCTGCTCTGACTAGTACTGGCAGGTCTGGTGGGCTAAGCCAGTTTACTCTAGTGTGGAATGAAGGAGCTGTGCCTGGAAGAGAGACTGAGATAAATCCCTAGAGCAGCTCCTGGCCAGTTAGGTTTTTGCTGAGCTACCTTGAACACCACTTCCTTCAGCCCTACGGGGTTTGGGTGGAAGGAAACATGCCTGCATTTTTCAGCCTTTTACATGGCGGCATATGAATCCCACATAACATCCTTTCTCACTATTAAGAACATAAGAACATAAGAGATGCCAATGTTGGATCAGGCCAAAGGCCCATCCAGTCCAACACTCTGTATCCCACAGTGGCCAGAAATACCAGTGCCATCAGGAGGTCCACCAGTGGGGCCAGGACATTAGAAGCCCTCCCACTGTTGACCCCCCCCCCCAAGCACCAAGATGACAGAGCATCACTTGCCCCAGAGTCCCTATCTATATCTTGTGGCTAATAGCCACTGACAAGGGGGGACCCGCGATGCTCGCGGGGGGGGGGAGGCAGAGGAGGAAGCAGCAGGAGGAGGGAAGTACCCCCCCCATCCTGCTGGTTCCCCCCTGTCCTCCAACCCCCTCCATCTCCTTCCCCACTCCTCTTCCCCCCCCACCCAGCTCCTCTTCCCCCCCCACCTCGCTGTTTCCCTCCCCCCT